AAAAAACCAAACAAGAACAAGACTTCCGCCTGGCTTCTGGGGCGCTAGGCATGCATCTCGGTGGACAGCCTGCCCTTCACACCGGCTCTGGCTGTGGTTTGAACACGTCACTAGGCGTGAGAGGCGCTCACGTGTAGCAGAGGAGAGTCGGGCAGGCGAGAACCAGTAGTCTAAACGTAAAGTGCATGTGAAGGCTTCGCACGGGCCCAAGCGCCAGGCCCTCCCCCAACGGGGAGGTGCTTAGCACAGGATTGCAAGTCAATAGGTCATGTCCACTGGCTGCCACAGGAGGGCCAGACCCCACGGTCCCCCACCCCACTTCCGGGGCAGCAGCATGGAGGGCGCGGCAGCAGCCACTCTGGGCGATGGGTGGCAGGCCCGCCGTCGGCAGGAAGACTGAGGAGGGCCTGGGCCACGGCACCGAGCTTGGGCTCCAGATTCGGGCTGTAGACGGACAGAAAGTAGGTCACTCCTGGGCCAGGAAGCACTGGGGCCCACGGGTCAGGCAGGGAAACGGGCCTGGTCACACAGGGACGTCAGATCCCATGCTGACTTGGCACCCACTGGCACTGGGCCTCCCTCAAAGCACTTCCCATGCCACCCGCTGGTCCTGACGCTGGCAGGTGAGCACTGTGGGGACCACTGCCCGGGAGAGGGGCTGCAGCTGCGCAGAGGGGAGCCCCCCATGTTTACAGCACAGGCCAAGGGCGTGAGGGGCCTTATTCCTGCACATGGAGTCCCCTGCCCCCAGGGGAGTGGCCAGGGCCCTGGGAGAAGTGGCCCCCACTGCCACAGGCAGGACAGTGAAGGACAGAACAGTGCACATGATGTGCCCCGCCCACCCTGCTGGTCCCCATGTCCCACCTGCATGGCCACCCTCACTGCTGTTTGCAGGCCGACAGCCGGCGGATCTTGCTGCTGGCAGAGCAGGCCTTGCGGGAAGGGTTGGAGGTGGCACTGGCCCGGCGCTCTGCCTTCGATTTGGCGCCCAGCTGGGCTGACTCTGTGCCATTCATGCACAGGGCCTTGGGCAGGCCCCGGCTCTGTCCGTTCTGACCAGCCTCCTCCCCTGGGACCTGTCCTAGGAGGGGAAGGGCAAGCGTGGACTGATTGAGGGTCAGGACCAGAAACCCCAAGCTGCCCTGCTTCCAGGCCATGCTTCCTGTGCCACCGGGTCCTTCTGGCAGGCTTACCCTCCACCCAGCACCCAGGGAGGGACCTGGGGTCTGGGGTGCAGGCCCTGAGCTCAACCACTCACCTGCGCCCCGCAGGGCCCATAGGGGCTGGGCTCGGCTGGGCACATGAGCCAGTGTCTCTCCCACAACAGCCGGCCATGTTCCTGCCCTCCCCAAGCAAGGGAGAGGACGGCATGCCAGGGACCCAGCAGAGCCCTCCCTCCCGCAGACATCAGCAGGAAACTGCCCTCTCGGCCAAGGGTGTCCAGTGTCTGACTCAGCAGCTTCTGGAAATTGCTGAGAGCCACTGGTGTGTGCACAGACAGCGTCTTAGGTCAGACCTCCTCACTGCCCACAGGCTCGTGCTGAAGAGCTCATGGGGTTAGGCACCCTGCCCACACGGGGGAGCAGCCACTGGTGCACCAGGGGTGGCGGCTCTGCACAGGTGCCCCGGCCCAGACACCAGCCCAGCTTGGCAGGGCAATCAGCAGGCCCTGAACACACCCTACTAGCTGGCCCTCAAGACACGTGGGTCATTGACCACCAATCACCCTCTACCAGCCCCAAACCCAGTGCCCAGCTCTCAGGTGTGTGGCCACCCAGGAAGATCAAGGGCCAGCAGCTGGGAACTAACCGGGACCCAAATCAGGACCACAGTGGGAGGGGTCTCTGCCCAGCACAGCTGCCCCTGATCCTCAGGCAGGTCAGAGAGAAGTAGTTGCCGGTCTCAGGGCAGGACTGTGCCACTTCTGGTGCGGGAGACGCTACCAGGCTGGAGAGCCACCCCTCCCAGGAAGGGCAGCCCTTGGCCTCACACAGGCCTGCAGTGCCTGCGAGCCAGCCCAGGTCCCTGCCTACAAGTGGCAGGGCGCTGTGGGCCTGGCAGGGCCCTGGCCTGTCCCTTACCAGGACAGCAGGCTGCCTCTGCGGGTCATGCCCAGGCATCTGTTACAGGGCCTCAGTGCCGCTGAGACCAGATGCCCCGTCCCCACTCTGCGCAGGGGGCGGAGGCTCTAGGCCTTGGACTCAGGGCCGGGGACACAGTGCAGACGCCACAGCTCAGGGCTCTGGGCCCCACGGCCTGGTGGCACCAGCTTCAGGCTGGCTAGTGGAGGCCGGGTCTCTGAGCAGGCCCCCCAGGAGAGTCGGGCGCTTGGGCTCTGCCTCCCCCAGGGACCATTCTGGGCCCAAAGCTCTAGCTCAGGAGCTGCGCAGGTCCTCATAAAGGTCTGCCCGCTGAGGGTGCTTCCCCTTCCTGGGGCCATCGGCTGCTGGTTTTGTCACAGACAGTGCTGGCATACAAGGGCGGCCCTGCTGCCCAGCAGCTCCTGAGCTGGTGCTGAGGCCTGGCCACTGGGTGCTGGGCAGGGGCAGCAGGGCGGCACTACACTAGGGCCTCAGCTTCCTCTCCAGAACGTTCCCGCGTGCCATTCTCCTCTCTAAGCCCTGCCCCGGCTGCCTCCTCGCCACCTGGAGGAGCAAGGCAACCCAGTCAGGGCCTCTGGAGGGCCCCCCACCCGTGCTGCAGAGCACAGGGCGGAGCCCTGGGCAGCCTCCGCCCTCTGGGCCCCCATCTGCTCTGTGAGCACAGGGGCACAGGGCTGGCCCCACCGCTGTCCTTGTGCCCGTGGCAGCCCCTCCAGGGTCCAGGTCAAGCCACAGTCAGCACTGGTGTGGACACGCCTGCGCCACAGACTCAGGACGTCAGGGACGTGGGGGACGAGGGCTCTACTCCCACAGGAAGGTGGATGCTGAGGCCGGGCCACGAAGCCGCAGCGGCTGCTGGGCTCACCGGGCACCGTGAAGTCCTGAGTGTAGATGATGTCATCCTCAATGTCAAAAATGTCCTCGTCTCCGTCATCAGCACAGCCATGCAGGTCCTCCAGGTAGGGCACCACTGTCATGCCACGCCACCGGTCCTTGCAGTCGGCACTCGGCGGGATGGGCACCAGCTCATCTGTCGGCGGGTGCTTCTTTCGGAACCAGCTGCGGAACCCACGAGTCAGCAGGGCGCGGGCCACCTGCCAGCCCCCCACGCGGGCCCCGCCTCAGGATGGCGCTTCGGCCTCGAGGCCCACCCCCAACCCCCATGCCATGGTGGGCCAGGCACAAGCACGGCTGAACAGCTCCCACGGCCACAACCTGCTCGGCTGAGACCCCAGGTACCGGTGGGGCCAGTGCCGTGGGGCCTGGGCGCGCCCAGCATCCGCTCACCTGTGCTGCCGAATCTGCTGGATGGAGAACCGCCTGGCCGGCTCGCACTCCAGCATCCCTGGCAGGGAGACCAGCGGATCAGCCCGGGCACACGCTGAGAACACCCCAGGGAGAGGGTGGCATGTGTCAGCCGGCCCAGAGCCTGGAACTGCACGTAGCGGCGTGAACACCGGGGACACGGCCCCAGGGCCCCGAGGACAGACCGAGAGGGTGGGAAAAGCCAGCGACCCAGTCCTCCAAACACCAGAGGAAGAGGGGGCACGTGGGCTGCCCTGCTCGCACCAGGTCGGTGAGGCTGGTGGCCAGGGATTCTAGGCAGGATCCTGCAGCCCAAGACAGCAGCGGGGGAGAACTGGAGGCCGCAAGGGCCACGCGCGGGGGCAGATCCCACATCCGGACACTTGCGGAGGGCAAGACTGACCGCAGGCTGGGCCGGCTCAAGGACCAGCCAGCAAGGAGCCCCAGAGCCCGCGGCCCATGCTGCCTGCCGTGAGCTCCCTGAGGGAGGGCCGGGCGTGAAGGGGGGGCCGGGTGCTGCGGCGCCAGCTCTGAGCTCCCACGAGGGCAGGCCGCTCTGTTCTCAGTGAACCTGCTCAGACACCTGAGCGCTGCACAATGCGGAGAACCCAGGTGGTGGCCTCGCAGCTCAGGGGTTGGTGGAGACGTGGGGCTGGTGGGGGGCCGTGCCACTGACTGAGTTTGGGGCAAGGGTGGGCAGGGGGTGGACCCAGGTCTCTGGGCCAGGGTGCTATACCAGGGGGTTTGGGGCACTGCCAGACTAGCGGGGGGCCACAGACCCCCGCTGGCTCAGCCTCAAGGCTGATGCCAAGAGAGAGCAAGGGATGAGGCATCCTGCCTGGGCCTGGGACAGAGAAGGGCAGTAACTGGTCACTGCTCTAGACACCAGCAAAGGAAGCTCTGTTTAGCAGAAAGGCCAGCCAACCATGTCATGGCAGGGAAGACCCGAACGCCCCTGCTGGAGCCGAGGCCAGCAGGTTGGTAAAGTGCTTGAGGTGGGCATGGAGTGTGTGCTCAGGGCACACTGCAGCCAGGGCCTCCTAGGAGAGCGCGGGAAGGACCAGCCATGCCTGGGACACCCAGCCAGCTAGGCCACCGCCCGGGGCCACTTACTGACACCTGGCTCCTTCCCACCCCACAGTTGCAAGAATGCCCCAGGCTGCATGCCTCAACAGTCCTGGGGCAGTGGGAGGGCGGGGCCGCCAGAGCCTGGAATGTGGCCGCAGCCCCAGCAGTCCAGGGTCAGCCTCGCTGCACCTTGACCTGAGCACAGGAATCAGCCTGGCTCGCTTATTAGGAAACCCAGGCATGGGTGGGGAGTCCCAGGCACGGGGATCTGCTTTTCCAGCCGCAGGTCACACCAGGCCTAGGTGCACAGGGTCAGCTACATGGCAGAGCATGAGATGTGGATGTCCTACCGGCCGATGAACCCTAAACTAAATGCCAGTCCCGCGTGGGGCTGCACTGGACATGCCTGACGGAGAACTGAGCGGTCAAAGCCTACTGCAGCCCGGCCTCAGGTCACGGCGGAGGCTCCGGCCCACCCGCACCTGAAGGCCCCGTCCTGGGGCCCACCGGTGTGAGGACAGCGCCACCTGCTGCGCAGCCTGGGAAACGCAGCAGGAAGAGGCTGGTAGGACCAGGCCTGGGGCCTGGGGAGACCTCGACCCAGCAGGGGGCTGGGGTGCAGGCTGCACCATCCCTCTGGGGGAAGGAGGGTCAGAACAGGGTAGAACAGAGGCCTAAAGCAGAGGACGGAGCCCAAGGGAGCCAGGGAGCCTCTCAGGGCTGCCCTCCCTCAATGGTGGTGTGGTCCAGCCAGAGGGGCCGGCCCGCAGGCTGCACACAGACCCAGCTCTCAAGAGGTGGGCGGCCATTGGAAAGTCCCCAGGACACCATCACCCCCTGGCAGCCCCCTGCACTCCTGGGGTCTCTCACCTTTCAGCAGGTCTGAGAGTGGGGGCCCACAGTCGCCCGGGATCGTGTAGTCCCCCTTCCCGATGTTCTCAAACAACTTGTAGATGTTGTCGCCCTCGAACGGGTACAGCCCTGTCGTGATGTTGTAGCTGTGCCCCCAGGAAGGAGAGAGCCCTGGTCAGTCGGGGCTGCAGAGGCCTCACCTGGGACCAGCAGGCCCAGGAGTCCTAACTCCCCTCACCCATAGGACCTCATACTGGGACAGGAATGCTCTGGAACACATGGCCGTGGCAGCTGAACCACTGAAAATACCCCAGGCCACCGGACTGTACGTTCCCAACAAGGGTGGGCCACACGGCACACAAATTATCCTCCGATAAAGTAAGAGGCCCACCCGTGCTGGCGGCTGCCGCCCCGGTGCAAAGCAGGAGGGCAGGTTCTGGACTGACGGGCCTGTGCTTGGGGGGGCGGGCCTGACCGCTCGGGCTCTGCCCCTGTGGGTGCTGGGGATGTGTGCCGGCAGGAGGGCGGGACACACGATCTCGGCCAAGCAGCTTCCAACCTGCCACCTGCCTTGCTGGGAATCCTCAGCATAAGGCACAGGGACTGGAGAACCTCCTGGGGACGAGGGTGGCCTGGGTGCTGAGCCCTGGGTCAGGACCCCGAAAGCAGGAGGCAGCTCTTCCCTTGGGACCCCCTCCCACACTGGCAGCCCCCAGCACAGATCCGGGGTGGCCTGGGGACTGGGGGCCAGGGCCCACGGGCACTTACAGTGTGACCCCGGCCGACCAGATGTCCACCTTGAAGCCAGAGAAGGTGTCCAGGCCATTGGCAATCTCGGGCGGCTGGAACGCCGGGGAGCCCTGGCTTGTGCGGCACGTGTCATCCTCGGCAAATGGGTGCAGGGCCTGTGGCAGTGCCAGGCGGCCCTCAGGGTGACTCCAGGGCAGGACACCTCCCCTAGGGGCCCCCAAGCTGCGTGCCTACCTCAGCCACGCCAAGGTCGGAAATCTTGAGCGTGCCACCAGTGGTGAGGAGCAGGTTGCCCGGTTTGATGTCCTTGTGAACGATGCCCTGGCTGTGCAGGTACTCGAGGCCGTCTACCAGCTGGCAGAAGTACCTGCGGGGCACAGCCTCACGACCTGTCCTACCAGGGGCCTCAGCTACCCAGGGTGACCCGGAAGACCAGAGCCAGGGGGCCACTGACCGGCTGAGCCGCCGCTGGGCCCACAAGGGCAGAAGCCACTGCCATCGGGGCTGCACGGGGAGGCAGAGGAGGACGCCCTTCCTTACGCTCCCCATCACCCCAAGGCCGTGCTGTCCCCCCAGCCACTGGCCCGGGCCGCGCAGCCCCTGGAGCTAGGAACCCGGCTCACCACACCAGCCCCCCTTCCCTTCACACTGCAGGCAGCTGATCCTGCAGCAAGGGGTTTGGGTTGTGGGACCCCGAGGAGGGCCATCTGGCCACTGGCAGTGCAGACCTCTGTCAGGGGCTCTCCAAGGACCAGGTCTCTAGGCCTCAGACAGTGGGCACCTGGGGCAGAGAGGGGCTGCCGGGGCTGCAGGCTGGGGGCTCTGCACACGGAACCCCAAAGCCCCGAGTTTTAACACTCAAGCTCTTGCTTTACTGATAATCAGAAAAGGCTGTTTAAACACAGGACTGTACCCTCAAAGCCCCAGGCAGGTGCCACACTCACCCGTGAGCCTGGGACACAGGGAACCGCTTCTCGGGCACGCTGTCGAGCATCTCCTGCATGCCACACACACAGTACTCCATCACCATATACGTGCGGCGCTAAGGAAATGTGGCTCAGTGGAGACCCTACCCCGGGCAGGGCCCGGCCCGGGGCAGCCAGGACAGCAGCCACAGGAGGGCCTGGTGGGGAGAGGCCCACGAGCCAGGAAGCGGCATTACTGAGACCAGCTGGCTCCCCGGAGGACACAGGAGAAGGGCCAGAGTGCTCAAGGGCCTGCAGGGCTCCCTGCGGGGTCCCTCTGTGGAGCGATATGGCCATTTCCTCTGGGCTCGGCCCTGTCGGAGGCTCTCCCCATTCAATGGCTGCCATTCAATAGGAGATGGAGCCCCAGAACAGGGGGACACAGCTTGCTGGGCAGGAGGGGCAGGTGGGGTGGCTGGTCAGGACAGACCAGAAGCAGCTACATGTCTAATGACACAGGGTAAGGTGGCTGGAGGGGGGCGGTGCCAGGCAGGCCCGCAGTCAGGCAGAAGTCTGGGCCACATTTCCACACAGGGCAGTGCAAAGATGGGGGTGGAGCAGAGACTGGTGCTGGGCATGTCACCACACCACACCGGGGAGTCGGGGACGGGCACCCTGGGCAGTTCATGCGGCCCCAAGTGTCTGCTTCCTGGAGCCTGCACCTCACCTCCTGGAGAAAGCCATCCCTGGGACAGAAGGTGAGGGCAGGATTCCTGCAGGATGACCCCCAGTGGGCTCGACCACAAATGGCAGCCTCGGTGGCCAGGCAAGGCCCCCAGGCCTGGGGTCACCCAGGCTAAGGCTGGGGAGGGGTCTCCTCTGCAGACCAGGCCCCACGCTCCAGGGCAGGCCCAGCACAGGGCACCGGAGTGGGACTCTGTGAGGGCACTTTGCTGAGACAGCCCGTGGGGGCCCATAGGCGCCTGTGGCTGGCGCAGCCACACAGCTGACTTTTGGGGTTAAGAGGCGCTCCTCCTGGGCTGCTCGCCTGCCACCGGGGGCGCATCTCCCCTCAGGACGGTGCCCCGCCCCCAGAGCCCGGCCCGGCCCCCACGAGGATATATTTTCTGCTTCTCCTCGTTGTACAGCACATCCACCAGCTGGATGACGTTTTTGTGCCGCAGCCGCCTCAGGAGTTGGATCTCCCTGGAGAAGAGAACGGGGCGCCCGTGAGCCGCTGCGGCGGCCCTCTGCTCAGGGAGGGGACAGCACGGGGGCGCATGCAGCGAGCCGCCTGAGGGGGCCTGGACGGCGACAACCTGGCCTCGATGGTCTTCGACACACTGCTGCAGACGGACAGTCAGTCTCACATCGTGAGGGGCCCAGCAATGGCAGCACAGGGCAGGACACTCGTGCAGTGGGAGCCCAGGGGGCCACATGGACCCCCAGTGTCCCCTCACCCCAGGCACAAGGCTACAGGCCCGTGACAACTGCCTTCCCCTCCTGGGACCCCGCAGCCCCGTGGGAACAGGGCCCTGCTCAGGAGAGTTCCCAGGCCTTGGCTGCACGAGGCAGGGGGCACATGGAGGAGAAGGTGGCCCAGCGCCGCCTGCTGCACCTGCTCAGAAGGGGGAACACACCCACCAGCACACCCACGAGCTGGCGAACGGCCCACAGAAGCCCCAGGTGGGCACAGCCCAGTGCCTATCCCACACAATGCGGCCAGGGCAACAGGGGCCAGGGGGGCGCTGCTCATGGGCAGGGCTTCCTTCTGGGGAGACAGAATATCCTGGGGTTAGGGTGCTGGAGGCACAGCTCTGTGAACAGACAAAATGCCACCGAGTCGCATGGCATGTCCATCATACCTCAATAGATTAATTTTAACACCACCACCAGAAAGGCCAAGCATGAGACACAGGAAAGGCCAGGCAAAGGCGGCCCCACCTCTGCAGGGACTCTGGGCGCCCTATAAAGGACACCTCTTCCAGGAAGCCTTTCCCGCCTCCCCTGCCCAAATCCTGAGCCAACCTCACTCACCCGACCAGGGCTGCTGCCATGCAGACTCCTGGACTAGAACTCAGTCTCTGGAGGGGGGGCCCAGAAGCAGGGCGTGTGGGCCCCCCAGATATAGAGCACAGGTGACCAGGGACTCACTTCCCCACAGCTCGCCGGCCTCCCCATCCCTGGCCCCCACTGAGGGGCCTCTGGACGTAGCGGGAACCCCACCCTGTCTTCCCGTCACTCCAGGGGACACCGAGGTCCTGAGAGGCCACACGGAGCGGGAGGGAGGGAGGCGGTGGCTTCCAGGCATGGGGGCGGCCTGGCTCACACTGTCTGGGCCTGGGGATCTATCCTGTGTCTGCTGTGGGCAGGGGCACACCCAGTTATTTTCCCAGATAAGCGACAGGGGATCCCTCGCCCCCTGGCACTGCAGACACTGGGGCCATCCTGGGCACTGTGGGGGTGAGCAACACCCCCACCACACCCTGATGCGTCCCAGGCATGACCCAGTGTTGCTGGGGGCAGGACCGCCCCGGCGAGCCCTGTCATAAAGGCTTAGGAACACCCTGGCCCTGGGGACAGACCCGCCTGGCCTCTGGCAGGCCCTCCCTGGGGCCCGTCACCCCTCCAGCGCTCCAGGCGCCTGCCCCTCTCCTGCCTGCACCCCCACAGGCCTGACTGTCCTGCCCCTGCTCACCGTCCGGCCATCTCGCCAGGACCCGGCAACGCTCCACCTGCCGTCACGCTCCGCTTCTACCCGATGGGCAGACACCCATCCACAGGGTATGACCTCCCCCCCCCCCGGCCCTGACCACTTCAGTGAGGGGACAAGCCTCTGCTGTGACAGTGATGCCCAGGCCAGCATGTGTGGAGCCAGCTCCCCTCAGAGGGCACAGTCCAGCACCCACCCCGCTTAGCCACACAAACACCCACTGGGCTACCTGGCCAGCGAGGGGCCAGCGGCCAGGGCAGGAGCTACCAGACAGTAGGCGCTTGGCCCGGGCACAGAATGAGACAGCCCCAGAGGAGGGGTCAGTGAGTCCCCAACGCCCAGAAGGACCCGAGGGGTCAGACACGGGGGCTCCCTGGGGTTGCACTCCGGACTGGGGGCGGTCAGCACGGCCACGATGCTGGAAGGAGCTTCGCAGCACGTGGGGATGGCTCAGAGCGACCGACACAGCCTGCTAAGTCAATCGCTCCTGGCCAGTGGTGCCAACTTCCCAGCTCTGGAAACTCCTTGGAGCTTTTTCTCTTCATTCAGGGGCCACTTCGTATGCCGCCAACACACTGAAGGCACATGTTCGGACAGGGCACCCTTCATGCAGCAGCTCCCTTGTGGACACCTCAGGGCTGGGGGGGCAGCCCTGCAGGTTACTGCGTGAAACGTGCCCCGAGCTCAGCACAGGCACAGAACTCCTGCAACAAGGCAAGGCCCTGGGGACCTTGCCCCAGGTCGCTGCGGGTAAGTGGGCAGCCCGTGGCCCCACATTTCCGAGTCTCAGGACAGACGGGCGCAGAGCGACCTCTGAGGCCTTGCCTCACCCTCAGCCCACTCCAGCACAGGGGAGAACGACTGCCAAGCGCCCCCTCTCTGCAGCAGGCACCAACACCACGGATTCTGACCCAAAGCAGGTGATGGCGCCCTCTCCTTGCAGTCAGGCTGCCAAGCCTCCTGCTCCGCCATCCACAGACCAGGCCCCGTCAGAGGCGCCACCCTGGAGCTTAGCTGCCACCCAGGGGCCTGGACCGCCTATCTGTTAATTAACTGCGATCAAACCGTTCTGCGTGAACAGGTAAATCACGTTATTTACATCAGGAAAGAAGGAACACACGTCAGACTGAGAAGGGCTGGGTGGAGACTGTGCACCCAGAGGGAAGGGCCGTGGATACTGACAGGATGGGACCGGGTGATCAGAGATGTGCGCTGGCACTACCTCGCCTTGGGGAGGAGGGCGCGGGAGAGGGACACCCAGACAAGTGCTGGGGGACCTCGGGGTGGAAGGTTTCTACGGCCTTTTTCTGTATTTTCCATGGCTCCTACGAATCATCTCTCTGGCAAAAAAGGAAAAAACAGTATGTAAAGATAAAGGAAAAGCAAGCCCTCTGCTGGGAGGCAGGAAGGGGAGAGGAAGCGGCGCCTTCCGCACCGGATGTCACAGACCTGCCCAGGCGTGGCCCCAGCTGGGCTGACTTGCTGATTAACCCCTGTAGATGTGCTCACAGGGGAGGGGAAGTGACTGCCCCAAAGAGAACCTGCAGGCGGCCCAGAGCGGGCGACGGCAGGCTCCACTCTCCCCAGAGACGAGCCAGCCAGGAAGCACCCCCACCTCGCTCCCCTGCAGACGGGGAGGGGGCTGCCAGGACCCCAAGGCTCAGGCAACTGAGCAAGGGAACCCTCACCCCCAATTGCTGATGCCTCTAAAGAGCAAGCGGTCCTCAGATGTCCAGCAGGCAGAGTAGGACAAGGACAGATCCCCTCAAAATGCAGCTCAGCACGGACCCTTGCACACATGTTCCCAGGACTACAACTCATAACAGGCATCAGGTGGGAACAGTCCCAAAAGTCCACCCACAAGTGAACAGACACACACAGAGCATTCCTTAGCTGTGAAGAGCAGTGAAGCCCTGACACGCGCCAAACGTGGACAGGCCCTGAACACACGGTGCTCAGTGAGATGCCAGACAAACAAGGCCACACGGTGTGACCCATTTCTGTGGAATATCCACGACAGGTGAATCCACAGACATAACACGGGCCTATAGGTGCTGGGGGCTGGGGAGGAGATGGGGTGACTGCTCATGGGGACAGTGGTCTTCTGTGGTGCAGGAATGTTCTGGAGTCACGTGGTGGTGAGGGTTTCATGATTTGGGAAGTACTAAATGCCTTGAGTTACATGTTAAACTGTATTTTGACAAGCTGCTACAAGAATAAACTACAGCATAGCCACACGGTGGACACCGGATGAAGGGTGGCTTTGGGTGTGGTTCTCAAACACTCCTGCGAAGGAACCACATTCTGCATGTGCCCCAGCATGACACACATCTGTGTGCCCTGAGCCCCCACCCCTCGTCAGAACCACCCCTTCTGCCTGGAAAGGACCAGACAAGCAGGGAGTGCCTGGACACGCGGTGCAGTGCAGTGCGGGTGAGCCTCGGCAGGCAGAAGGTGCCTTCCAGCCGCCACCTCTGGTGGCTGACCAGCCTGGCCGCACAGTGGAATCCTATCCAGGAAGGCGGGAGGCCCAGCAGATGCCAGGGCCTTGTGGAGGCTGATCCAGATGGGAATGAGAGCTGACAGGGTCCAGGGCTCGATTCTTGGCACGCTGGAATCCGAACACCCACCAATTACCACAAGGCGGTCCCGCCTCACCGCGGCTGGCTCTCAGGGGTGGGCAGACAGGGCTCCTGGTGGCCAGTCAGGACACAGACATCAGCTGGACATGCAAGGCTGGAGGAGCTGGGGACACTGGGGTCTCCACACAGCTTATGAAATTCAACCCCGCCCAGCTTGACCTAGAAACTCCACCTCTGGGGATGTGCCCATCAAGTACTGTCGCCCTCGTCACAGGATGTGGCCCAAGTAACTAACCTACAGAGCAAACACACCCACAGCTCAGGACCTGCAGACCTGGCCACTGCATGCTCCACTGCTGAGGGACCACCAAGACCCCCACCCGCTCCTGCCCTCACACAGAGGCAGATCGGTTTGGTCATGGGCCAAGGGTCTGATGGGCAAACACAGAAAGCCCCACCATTTTGTTGTACCAGAGCAGTGAGTGACATAAACAGCTGTTGGAAAGAAAAACACAAAGAGTAGTTTTGTGATGCGGAGCTTGGTGGTTTTCTGACTGTCCTGGGTACGGCTGGGCCATCCCGCACCTTTCCCACCACGCAGCACAGACACGTGGCCTGGCACAGCTGGTAGGCAGCAGCGAAGAGGGGAAATGCACGCAGTCCCTCTATAGCCACATGACCCCCTGCAGGACCTGGGCCGAGGGAGCAGGGAGACCCCTCCAGCTTCCACGGTGCTTGTCTGTGCGATTCCACTGCCTGTCGTGGGACCAGTAAACGCGACCTGTTTTCCACAGACGGTCCTCGGGGGGCTTCCTCCTCACTCATGGCGCTCACCCAGGTGAGACAGGGAAAGCTCGACCAGGTGTGTCGGTGGTAAGGTCATGAGTATCTTTTTTCTCCTTCTTGATGTTTTTTGGAGCTTCCCTGCTTCGCCGTTAAGAACCTATGGTTTTACCAGCAAGGCAGGGAAGGTGCAGACACACAGCGGCCTTCCTGGGGGAGAGCCACATGGAGTGGGGGCCACCCGAGCCCCCAGCCACCTGCACCGAGAACAGCCCTCTTCAAGAAAAAGCCTCCTGCCCAACCCGCAAGACTCCTGAGGCTTGTCTTGAAGGTTCCAGACACTTCACCGCGAGAAGTGACCGGAGCTGAGTTCATCAAACCCTGGGAGGACAAAGGAGCCTTTCCCCCTGCGGGCGGTAAGGCCACCGGGAGCCAATCTCCCTTGCATGCACACGGCTGGTGGGAGCCCGAGGCACGGGCTCTGTGGCAAACTACAGCCCAGGATCCAGATGCCACAGACCAGTGGGCGGCAGAGCGTGTGCCAGCCCTGCCCGCGGAGGGGGGCCCCCAAAAGGCGAAGCAGTGAAATCAGGCACCAGCTCTGTGCCCAGCAGCTGTGACATCTTATGTTAAAAGGCCAGGTCCACTGAGCACCACCCACTACTCTGCCTCCCTGGCCTCAGTTTCTCCTCCAGTTCTCCTAACAGACATCATGGGACCTGACTCCTTGCATCCCCAAGAGTGCCGGCCACGGGTCCCCACAACCCATAGGACCTCAGCTGACCAGTCAGGAGAGCCCGGACTGAGAAGCCCGCGTGCTGCACCCCTCCAGGCAGGCCGTCATGTGTGTCCCATGGAGCAGGGTGCACTCTGGGGCCGTGAGACGTCCTCCNGGCAATCTCGGGCGGCTGGAACGCCGGGGAGCCCTGGCTTGTGCGGCACGTGTCATCCTCGGCAAATGGGTGCAGGGCCTGTGGCAGTGCCAGGCGGCCCTCAGGGTGACTCCAGGGCAGGACACCTCCCCTAGGGGCCCCCAAGCTGCGTGCCTACCTCAGCCACGCCAAGGTCGGAAATCTTGAGCGTGCCACCAGTGGTGAGGAGCAGGTTGCCCGGTTTGATGTCCTTGTGAACGATGCCCTGGCTGTGCAGGTACTCGAGGCCGTCTACCAGCTGGCAGAAGTACCTGCGGGGCACAGCCTCACGACCTGTCCTACCAGGGGCCTCAGCTACCCAGGGTGACCCGGAAGACCAGAGCCAGGGGGCCACTGACCGGCTGAGCCGCCGCTGGGCCCACAAGGGCAGAAGCCACTGCCATCGGGGCTGCACGGGGAGGCAGAGGAGGACGCCCTTCCTTACGCTCCCCATCACCCCAAGGCCGTGCTGTCCCCCCAGCCACTGGCCCGGGCCGCGCAGCCCCTGGAGCTAGGAACCCGGCTCACCACACCAGCCCCCCTTCCCTTCACACTGCAGGCAGCTGATCCTGCAGCAAGGGGTTTGGGTTGTGGGACCCCGAGGAGGGCCATCTGGCCACTGGCAGTGCAGACCTCTGTCAGGGGCTCTCCAAGGACCAGGTCTCTAGGCCTCAGACAGTGGGCACCTGGGGCAGAGAGGGGCTGCCGGGGCTGCAGGCTGGGGGCTCTGCACACGGAACCCCAAAGCCCCGAGTTTTAACACTCAAGCTCTTGCTTTACTGATAATCAGAAAAGGCTGTTTAAACACAGGACTGTACCCTCAAAGCCCCAGGCAGGTGCCACACTCACCCGTGAGCCTGGGACACAGGGAACCGCTTCTCGGGCACGCTGTCGAGCATCTCCTGCATGCCACACACACAGTACTCCATCACCATATACGTGCGGCGCTAAGGAAATGTGGCTCAGTGGAGACCCTACCCCGGGCAGGGCCCGGCCCGGGGCAGCCAGGACAGCAGCCACAGGAGGGCCTGGTGGGGAGAGGCCCACGAGCCAGGAAGCGGCATTACTGAGACCAGCTGGCTCCCCGGAGGACACAGGAGAAGGGCCAGAGTGCTCAAGGGCCTGCAGGGCTCCCTGCGGGGTCCCTCTGTGGAGCGATATGGCCATTTCCTCTGGGCTCGGCCCTGTCGGAGGCTCTCCCCATTCAATGGCTGCCATTCAATAGGAGATGGAGCCCCAGAACAGGGGGACACAGCTTGCTGGGCAGGAGGGGCAGGTGGGGTGGCTGGTCAGGACAGACCAGAAGCAGCTACATGTCTAATGACACAGGGTAAGGTGGCTGGAGGGGGGCGGTGCCAGGCAGGCCCGCAGTCAGGCAGAAGTCTGGGCCACATTTCCACACAGGGCAGTGCAAAGATGGGGGTGGAGCAGAGACTGGTGCTGGGCATGTCACCACACCACACCGGGGAGTCGGGGACGGGCACCCTGGGCAGTTCATGCGGCCCCAAGTGTCTGCTTCCTGGAGCCTGCACCTCACCTCCTGGAGAAAGCCATCCCTGGGACAGAAGGTGAGGGCAGGATTCCTGCAGGATGACCCCCAGTGGGCTCGACCACAAATGGCAGCCTCGGTGGCCAGGCAAGGCCCCCAGGCCTGGGGTCACCCAGGCTAAGGCTGGGGAGGGGTCTCCTCTGCAGACCAGGCCCCACGCTCCAGGGCAGGCCCAGCACAGGGCACCGGAGTGGGACTCTGTGAGGGCACTTTGCTGAGACAGCCCGTGGGGGCCCATAGGCGCCTGTGGCTGGCGCAGCCACACAGCTGACTTTTGGGGTTAAGAGGCGCTCCTCCTGGGCTGCTCGCCTGCCACCGGGGGCGCATCTCCCCTCAGGACGGTGCCCCGCCCCCAGAGCCCGGCCCGGCCCCCACGAGGATATATTTTCTGCTTCTCCTCGTTGTACAGCACATCCACCAGCTGGATGACGTTTTTGTGCCGCAGCCGCCTCAGGAGTTGGATCTCCCTGGAGAAGAGAACGGGGCGCCCGTGAGCCGCTGCGGCGGCCCTCTGCTCAGGGAGGGGACAGCACGGGGGCGCATGCAGCGAGCCGCCTGAGGGGGCCTGGACGGCGACAACCTGGCCTCGATGGTCTTCGACACACTGCTGCAGACGGACAGTCAGTCTCACATCGTGAGGGGCCCAGCAATGGCAGCACAGGGCAGGACACTCGTGCAGTGGGAGCCCAGGGGGCCACATGGACCCCCAGTGTCCCCTCACCCCAGGCACAAGGCTACAGGCCCGTGACAACTGCCTTCCCCTCCTGGGACCCCGCAGCCCCGTGGGAACAGGGCCCTGCTCAGGAGAGTTCCCAGGCCTTGGCTGCACGAGGCAGGGGGCACATGGAGGAGAAGGTGGCCCAGCGCCGCCTGCTGCACCTGCTCAGAAGGGGGAACACACCCACCAGCACACCCACGAGCTGGCGAACGGCCCACAGAAGCCCCAGGTGGGCACAGCCCAGTGCCTATCCCACACAATGCGGCCAGGGCAACAGGGGCCAGGGGGGCGCTGCTCATGGGCAGGGCTTCCTTCTGGGGAGACAGAATATCCTGGGGTTAGGGTGCTGGAGGCACAGCTCTGTGAACAGACAAAATGCCACCGAGTCGCATGGCATGTCCATCATACCTCAATAGATTAATTTTAACACCACCACCAGAAAGGCCAAGCATGAGACACAGGAAAGGCCAGGCAAAGGCGGCCCCACCTCTGCAGGGACTCTGGGCGCCCTATAAAGGACACCTCTTCCAGGAAGCCTTTCCCGCCTCCCCTGCCCAAATCCTGAGCCAACCTCACTCACCCGACCAGGGCTGCTGCCATGCAGACTCCTGGACTAGAACTCAGTCTCTGGAGGGGGGGCCCAGAAGCAGGGCGTGTGGGCCCCCCAGATATAGAGCACAGGTGACCAGGGACTCACTTCCCCACAGCTCGCCGGCCTCCCCATCCCTGGCCCCCACTGAGGGGCCTCTGGACGTAGCGGGAACCCCACCCTGTCTTCCCGTCACTCCAGGGGACACCGAGGTCCTGAGAGGCCACACGGAGCGGGAGGGAGGGAGGCGGTGGCTTCCAGGCATGGGGGCGGCCTGGCTCACACTGTCTGGGCCTGGGGATCTATCCTGTGTCTGCTGTGGGCAGGGGCACACCCAGTTATTTTCCCAGATAAGCGACAGGGGATCCCTCGCCCCCTGGCACTGCAGACACTGGGGCCATCCTGGGCACTGTGGGGGTGAGCAACACCCCCACCACACCCTGATGCGTCCCAGGCATGACCCAGTGTTGCTGGGGGCAGGACCGCCCCGGCGAGCCCTGTCATAAAGGCTTAGGAACACCCTGGCCCTGGGGACAGACCCGCCTGGCCTCTGGCAGGCCCTCCCTGGGGCCCGTCACCCCTCCAGCGCTCCAGGCGCCTGCCCCTCTCCTGCCTGCACCCCCACAGGCCTGACTGTCCTGCCCCTGCTCACCGTCCGGCCATCTCGCCAGGACCCGGCAACGCTCCACCTGCCGTCACGCTCCGCTTCTACCCGATGGGCAGACACCCATCCACAGGGTATGACCTCCCCCCCCCCCGGCCCTGACCACTTCAGTGAGGGGACAAGCCTCTGCTGTGACAGTGATGCCCAGGCCAGCATGTGTGGAGCCAGCTCCCCTCAGAGGGCACAGTCCAGCACCCACCCCGCTTAGCCACACAAACACCCACTGGGCTACCTGGCCAGCGAGGGGCCAGCGGCCAGGGCAGGAGCTACCAGACAGTAGGCGCTTGGCCCGGGCACAGAATGAGACAGCCCCAGAGGAGGGGTCAGTGAGTCCCCAACGCCCAGAAGGACCCGAGGGGTCAGACACGGGGGCTCCCTGGGGTTGCACTCCGGACTGGGGGCGGTCAGCACGGCCACGATGCTGGAAGGAGCTTCGCAGCACGTGGGGATGGCTCAGAGCGACCGACACAGCCTGCTAAGTCAATCGCTCCTGGCCAGTGGTGCCAACTTCCCAGCTCTGGAAACTCCTTGGAGCTTTTTCTCTTCATTCAGGGGCCACTTCGTATGCCGCCAACACACTGAAGGCACATGTTCGGACAGGGCACCCTTCATGCAGCAGCTCCCTTGTGGACACCTCAGGGCTGGGGGGGCAGCCCTGCAGGTTACTGCGTGAAACGTGCCCCGAGCTCAGCACAGGCACAGAACTCCTGCAACAAGGCAAGGCCCTGGGGACCTTGCCCCAGGTCGCTGCGGGTAAGTGGGCAGCCCGTGGCCCCACATTTCCGAGTCTCAGGACAGACGGGCGCAGAGCGACCTCTGAGGCCTTGCCTCACCCTCAGCCCACTCCAGCACAGGGGAGAACGACTGCCAAGCGCCCCCTCTCTGCAGCAGGCACCAACACCACGGATTCTGACCCAAAGCAGGTGATGGCGCCCTCTCCTTGCAGTCAGGCTGCCAAGCCTCCTGCTCCGCCATCCACAGACCAGGCCCCGTCAGAGGCGCCACCCTGGAGCTTAGCTGCCACCCAGGGGCCTGGACCGCCTATCTGTTAATTAACTGCGATCAAACCGTTCTGCGTGAACAGGTAAATCACGTTATTTACATCAGGAAAGAAGGAACACACGTCAGACTGAGAAGGGCTGGGTGGAGACTGTGCACCCAGAGGGAAGGGCCGTGGATACTGACAGGATGGGACCGGGTGATCAGAGATGTGCGCTGGCACTACCTCGCCTTGGGGAGGAGGGCGCGGGAGAGGGACACCCAGACAAGTGCTGGGGGACCTCGGGGTGGAAGGTTTCTACGGCCTTTTTCTGTATTTTCCATGGCTCCTACGAATCATCTCTCTGGCAAAAAAGGAAAAAACAGTATGTAAAGATAAAGGAAAAGCAAGCCCTCTGCTGGGAGGCAGGAAGGGGAGAGGAAGCGGCGCCTTCCGCACCGGATGTCACAGACCTGCCCAGGCGTGGCCCCAGCTGGGCTGACTTGCTGATTAACCCCTGTAGATGTGCTCACAGGGGAGGGGAAGTGACTGCCCCAAAGAGAACCTGCAGGCGGCCCAGAGCGGGCGACGGCAGGCTCCACTCTCCCCAGAGACGAGCCAGCCAGGAAGCACCCCCACCTCGCTCCCCTGCAGACGGGGAGGGGGCTGCCAGGACCCCAAGGCTCAGGCAACTGAGCAAGGGAACCCTCACCCCCAATTGCTGATGCCTCTAAAGAGCAAGCGGTCCTCAGATGTCCAGCAGGCAGAGTAGGACAAGGACAGATCCCCTCAAAATGCAGCTCAGCACGGACCCTTGCACACATGTTCCCAGGACTACAACTCATAACAGGCATCAGGTGGGAACAGTCCCAAAAGTCCACCCACAAGTGAACAGACACACACAGAGCATTCCTTAGCTGTGAAGAGCAGTGAAGCCCTGACACGCGCCAAACGTGGACAGGCCCTGAACACACGGTGCTCAGTGAGATGCCAGACAAACAAGGCCACACGGTGTGACCCATTTCTGTGGAATATCCACGACAGGTGAATCCACAGACATAACACGGGCCTATAGGTGCTGGGGGCTGGGGAGGAGATGGGGTGACTGCTCATGGGGACAGTGGTCTTCTGTGGTGCAGGAATGTTCTGGAGTCACGTGGTGGTGAGGGTTTCATGATTTGGGAAGTACTAAATGCCTTGAGTTACATGTTAAACTGTATTTTGACAAGCTGCTACAAGAATAAACTACAGCATAGCCACACGGTGGACACCGGATGAAGGGTGGCTTTGGGTGTGGTTCTCAAACACTCCTGCGAAGGAACCACATTCTGCATGTGCCCCAGCATGACACACATCTGTGTGCCCTGAGCCCCCACCCCTCGTCAGAACCACCCCTTCTGCCTGGAAAGGACCAGACAAGCAGGGAGTGCCTGGACACGCGGTGCAGTGCAGTGCGGGTGAGCCTCGGCAGGCAGAAGGTGCCTTCCAGCCGCCACCTCTGGTGGCTGACCAGCCTGGCCGCACAGTGGAATCCTATCCAGGAAGGCGGGAGGCCCAGCAGATGCCAGGGCCTTGTGGAGGCTGATCCAGATGGGAATGAGAGCTGACAGGGTCCAGGGCTCGATTCTTGGCACGCTGGAATCCGAACACCCACCAATTACCACAAGGCGGTCCCGCCTCACCGCGGCTGGCTCTCAGGGGTGGGCAGACAGGGCTCCTGGTGGCCAGTCAGGACACAGACATCAGCTGGACATGCAAGGCTGGAGGAGCTGGGGACACTGGGGTCTCCACACAGCTTATGAAATTCAACCCCGCCCAGCTTGACCTAGAAACTCCACCTCTGGGGATGTGCCCATCAAGTACTGTCGCCCTCGTCACAGGATGTGGCCCAAGTAACTAACCTACAGAGCAAACACACCCACAGCTCAGGACCTGCAGACCTGGCCACTGCATGCTCCACTGCTGAGGGACCACCAAGACCCCCACCCGCTCCTGCCCTCACACAGAGGCAGATCGGTTTGGTCATGGGCCAAGGGTCTGATGGGCAAACACAGAAAGCCCCACCATTTTGTTGTACCAGAGCAGTGAGTGACATAAACAGCTGTTGGAAAGAAAAACACAAAGAGTAGTTTTGTGATGCGGAGCTTGGTGGTTTTCTGACTGTCCTGGGTACGGCTGGGCCATCCCGCACCTTTCCCACCACGCAGCACAGACACGTGGCCTGGCACAGCTGGTAGGCAGCAGCGAAGAGGGGAAATGCACGCAGTCCCTCTATAGCCACATGACCCCCTGCAGGACCTGGGCCGAGGGAGCAGGGAGACCCCTCCAGCTTCCACGGTGCTTGTCTGTGCGATTCCACTGCCTGTCGTGGGACCAGTAAACGCGACCTGTTTTCCACAGACGGTCCTCGGGGGGCTTCCTCCTCACTCATGGCGCTCACCCAGGTGAGACAGGGAAAGCTCGACCAGGTGTGTCGGTGGTAAGGTCATGAGTATCTTTTTTCTCCTTCTTGATGTTTTTTGGAGCTTCCCTGCTTCGCCGTTAAGAACCTATGGTTTTACCAGCAAGGCAGGGAAGGTGCAGACACACAGCGGCCTTCCTGGGGGAGAGCCACATGGAGTGGGGGCCACCCGAGCCCCCAGCCACCTGCACCGAGAACAGCCCTCTTCAAGAAAAAGCCTCCTGCCCAACCCGCAAGACTCCTGAGGCTTGTCTTGAAGGTTCCAGACACTTCACCGCGAGAAGTGACCGGAGCTGAGTTCATCAAACCCTGGGAGGACAAAGGAGCCTTTCCCCCTGCGGGCGGTAAGGCCACCGGGAGCCAATCTCCCTTGCATGCACACGGCTGGTGGGAGCCCGAGGCACGGGCTCTGTGGCAAACTACAGCCCAGGATCCAGATGCCACAGACCAGTGGGCGGCAGAGCGTGTGCCAGCCCTGCCCGCGGAGGGGGGCCCCCAAAAGGCGAAGCAGTGAAATCAGGCACCAGCTCTGTGCCCAGCAGCTGTGACATCTTATGTTAAAAGGCCAGGTCCACTGAGCACCACCCACTACTCTGCCTCCCTGGCCTCAGTTTCTCCTCCAGTTCTCCTAACAGACATCATGGGACCTGACTCCTTGCATCCCCAAGAGTGCCGGCCACGGGTCCCCACAACCCATAGGACCTCAGCTGACCAGTCAGGAGAGCCCGGACTGAGAAGCCCGCGTGCTGCACCCCTCCAGGCAGGCCGTCATGTGTGTCCCATGGAGCAGGGTGCACTCTGGGGCCGTGAGACGTCCTCCCCCTTGACCTCAGGTGTGTGCATCTGTCAGAACCCAGAGTGTGCCCCGCGAACAGGGCCTACCACATGCCGGCCTGCCCCAGTGCCACCGCCACCACACTGGGCGTCTGCGGACCTTCTGGGACCGACTGCTCAACTGCTGCCCTAGTAGGCACCCCTGGACGGGTTACACCCTGAGTTCCCGGCTGGCAGGGTGGACCTGGGCGACTCCGGCCAGAACCGTGTGAGCTGGGGCAGGCCAGGGCTCTGGGAACCCCTCCTACTTGGAGGCATGCTCCCCAGAGGCCGGGGCCCAGGCTGCCATGGCAGCGTGGCCTACAGAGATCAGCAGCAGGACAGCATGGACGCATGCCCACGCCGTTCTGGAGGGCTCAGCCAGGCAGGAAGACACCCAGTTCCCGAGAGGGCTGGAGGGGAGCCGCTTCCAGGGACAGCAAGCAGTAGGCAGGCGCTCACTGCCCCAAACTCACAGCAGCGCCACAGTGACAGACTCGGGGCCACATCGCCCCAGGTGCCCTGGCTTGTGGGAAACATAACCTGCGAGCCAGCAGCTGAGTGGGGATTTCTGATGTGGGCCCCAGGGAGGCCACTGCTGTAGCCTGGCCAGTCTCCCAGCCCCGCCCAGCCCCCACCTCCCAGGTGAGAGCTTGGCACAGCACACAGCTAACCGACCTGCCCAAGGGCGCCTGACCACACCTTCTCCCTGCCCACTGGCTGGGCCCCAAACACAGTACAAAGGCCTTACTGGAACGCGGCCTGCCACGCACGGCCCCCACATTGAGATGACCGCTCAGATTAGCTGCACCCACTCTGGCAGAGCCCAGGTCAATTGGGGTTCAGCTCTCTGCTTCATCCCTGATTTCACCCAGCTGGCTCAGGCATCGCAGAGCAAGTGAAACAGCCGTGACCGCCCGCGGGAAGACAGGAGAGGAAGCCACCGGGGAGAGCACGTCCCAGGGCGGGCCTGGCAGGCATGCAGGCGTCCAAGGGCATAAGTCAGCCCTGCCGCCTGGCCCGTTAGATAAACCCCTTCTTGGAAACTAGAGGCTGGCAGAGGAGCTGGGCCCAAACAGGCTGGGGGCCCGCCCAGTAGCCTCGATAAGCCCTGAAACCAGCGAGAGGACAGCGACACCCAGCTCCCACCACCCTTGGGACACTTCTGCTTGGAACCCCACCACCACCTGAGAAACTGCGCATAAAAACTTCTCCCAGACACAAGCCAGGTCCCCTCCAGGACGCCAGGGGGCCTGCAGTCACATATGTCCTGGATGGCACATAAAGGGCCACAACCCCCTACCGACTCATAAGCTGGTACAATTATTTTTGGCAGCCACAGGGTTCCCCTTAACAAGATAAATAAACCCATTTCCCTAGCCCTACTAACAACCCCCCACAGCTCAGAAAACGTGCTGGCAGCTGGGACTGGTTCACAACATACACTCTCTGGGCCAGATAAACATTGGCTGGCTCTGCCCCGCATCTAAGTTCTTCAGGCAGCTGGGAGGGCGGAGGTGGGGGGGCGCCCCTCAGAGTTAGGCTTTGACAGCAGCGCCCCAACGACAACCGGCTGGCCTGACTTGGACAAAGTTCTTGGGCAGGTTTCCCATGACACTTTCCCTGGCAAGGAGGGCCCAGGAGGTGGCTGGTCAGCTTGGGCCCGAAGGGAGGGAGGCCGCGCGGACCCACGGAGCCCACACTTACTTCTTCACGTTGGCCTCTCCGTTGGGGATCCTCCGCAACTTCTTCTTCTTGAGGATTTTGACGGCTCGCCGGCACAGCGTCTCTGAGTCCAGCACCTCCTTCACCTTACCGTAGGACCCCTCCCCGAGCAGGTCCCCCATCAGGTACTTGCCAATGAGTTTGGCCCGCTTGCGGCGCGGCTGGTAGATGACCTCGGTGGAGTCGATGCGATGGATGAATGTGTCCATGCCCACGGACATCAGCTCCCCCTCGGTAAACATGCCCAGCTGCTGCGGGTCTGCCACATCCATCCTGGACCCAACGCCTCCGACTCCCACCGGCGGTCCCTTGTCCCCTCTGTGTATTCCCCCGGTGAGCGGTTCTTCCTTCTGTCCCCGAAAATTCCCTTCTTCTTCGAAAAAAAAATTCAACAGAAACACCAAAAAAAGCGGGGGGGGGGGCGGAAATTAAAAAGGAAAACTCTTCTTCGAGAAGAAACGATTGTCCAATTGTGAGTTCCAGCGGCGAGCCTGGCCCAGGGCACGGCACCCGAGGGTGCAGGCGTCAAGTCTGGGCGCCGGCCGGCCTGGCCGCTGAGGGTCGCGCCGGCGAGTCCGCGGGCCCGCGGGAGGCCGGTGGGGCGTGCGCTGCTAGGTCATCCTCCGGGAACTCTAGACCCTCGGACCGACGCGGACGCGCCCGGCCGGGTCCTCTCCGGGCTGGGCATCACCAGCGGGCGGCGGCGCGCGCCCAGGCACTGCCCCGGTCGTCCCGGGCGCCCGAGGCGGCGGCAGGTGCGGGTCCGCAGCGCGCGCGGAGCACCGACGTGAGGTCTGGCCGCACCGCCCGCCAGCCCCGGGCGCACGTCGGCGGCCGAGGGGCGGCCCGGAACCCGCCCGCCCCAGCAAGTAACTTCCGAAGAAGCCGGCCGTCGCTGGGCGCCCCTTACCGCTTGGGACCCCCGAGCGGCCGCCCCCGCCCCAAACGGCAGCCCGCGCTCGCTCTTCGCCGCGAACGCCGCAGGGCGCTAGGCACCCCGGGGCTCCGGGCGACCGAGGCGGCGCAGGCCGCAGGCCCGGTCCGGGGGTTCCCGAGGCCACCGGGGGCCCGGGCGGCGTGTGCCCCCGCCGCGGCCGCCGCGCTTGTCGAGCAGGCGGGGCGGCGCGGGGGCCCAGCCCATGCAAGGCGGCGCGGAGCCGGCCGGGCCGCCGCCGCCGCCACTGCCGCCCACGCCCCCGCTTCAGTCGCTGGCGCACCGGGCCGCCTCCCCCTTCCGCGCCCGACACGCCGCCGCCATCTTGTTTACCTCCCGCCCCCGCCCTGCGCCGCCGCGCCGCCGCACGCCCGTTGCGGAGCCCATCCCTCACGCCGCTGACGCGCCCGCCCGTTGGCTGAGTCTGCTGTCCCCTTCTTTATGCCCGCCCCACAGCGGCTGCCGATTGGGCCGTTTGGACCCGGGCGGGAGGCCGAGCTGGGATTGGCTCGCGCCCGGCCCCGCCCCGAGGGTGGAGACGGCTCGCCCATTGGCCTGGCAGGCGCCCGTCAAGGGAGGGGAGGAAAGCGGGCTCGGGGAGGCCAGGCGGTTGCGTTGACCTCGAGGGGTCCGGGGCTGGGGTTGGAGGTCGCCAGCGCCAACGGCGTCCTCGAAATGACCGTACCGTGGGCAGTGCCCTCGAGGGCCGGGCCGCGGCTCGGGGACCCTGCGGCGCGCGTGCCTGGGTCCCTCCCCCGAAACACTGGTTGAGGCCAGGTCAAAGGTCAAAAAGTAGCCCGGAGTGGGCAAAATCCGGCATGACGGCGTGGAATTGCCTCTCTGGTACTTTCCACCTTTCTGCTTTTCAGCGCCAGGTCACTGTTCTCCCAGAGCAAACTCGTCTTGTGTGAAGTTCCTGATTCGCCAGAGCCAGGAAGCGGAAGCTAGGGGAGCTGAGGCCATCGGATTTCGGCCCCAATATGGGGGTTCTGAGCCCCAAAACTACCTGCCACATAGTGTGCCTATGAAAAAAAAAAAAGAAAACAACCAAAAAATTAAAAAAAAAAACCAAAAGAAGGGGAAAGGAAAAGCTTTGGGGGCTAAAAGGCACAGCAATCAAAATGTGGATCGGCCCCAAATTCCTTTTGAGAAGGAAATCCTAAAGATAAGAGCAGAAACCAACAAAATAGAATGGGAAAATAATAGGGAAAAGTCAAAACAAATGATTGTTCTTTGAAAAGATCCAGAAAGTTGATAAAACTCTAGGCAGATTGGCCAAGAAAAACAAACGATCCATATCAAGAATGAAAGAAAAGATTTTGCTACAGACCTTATGGATGTCAAAAGGAATTAGATACTAGGAAAAACCCCATCCCCGTAAATTATACGACTCATAGTTGAAAAGGACAGACACCTTGAAAAACAGTTCAATGAAAGCACATTCAAGAAGAAATAGGTAGCGTAGTCTAACAGGGATCAGAAAAATTAAAGGTACTGAAAAACCTTTCAACAAAAACAATGGCCCCATGTTTCGTTGAATTTCCTCCAAACATTTCAAGAGGAAATAACATTAGTTCTAAACAACCTCTTGAGAAAACTGAAGAGGAGGGAACGCTGCCTAACTGAAATTCCTTTTGGTATCTTCCGTGTTTTTGATTGCTGGCTTCCCCCTAAACTTCTTGGAATCTGTGGGTATGTTCAGCAGTCTTGGCATCTGTAGGGCCCACTCTCCTTCACAGGAATCCTTGAAGGTGAAATCTTGGCTTGGATGCCACCTCTTCCGAGAAGCCTTCCTGATCATTCCCTGGAATGTAGCACCATTCCAGTTTGACTTTTTTCTTAACACTTGTCACCACCAGAAATTGTCTCATTTATATATTTCTTTGCCCATTTTTTTTCTTTCTGGTACTAACTACCCTGGGAGCTCGCTGGGGCTATCTTTTTCATTGCTGTGTTCTCAGTAGTGAGAGCTGTGCCATCCCGTACGGTAGCCACTGGCCACATGTGTCTGTTAAGCTCTTGTTGTATATTTGCCCGAACTGAGATGTGCTGAGTGTAACTACATGCTAGGTTTTGTAGGCTTAGTGTGAAAATATATATATATATACACACACATATATACATACATAATAATTCACACTAATTGCATGTTAAAATGATATAATTTTGGATGTTAGGTTAAAAGAAACATTATTAAAATTAACCACTTCATACCCACTAGGATGCCTATGATCAAAAAAATGGACAATAACAGGTGTTGGTGAAGATGCAGAAAAAAAACAGAAATCTCAAAAAGATGGTACAGCTACTTTGGAAAACCAGTGAAAAGTTTAGACATAATGTTTCCATGTGGCCCAGCAGTTCTGCTCCGTGGTATGTACCCGAAAGAACTGGAAACATGTCCACACAAAAATTTGCATGCAGATGTTCATAGCAACTCAATTCACAATACCAAAATTCGGAAAACACCCAAATGTCCATCCATAGGTGAATGGACACACATACTTGTCCATCCACACACGGGCCCTGATGCACGCTGCAATGCAGACGGGCCCTGAACACGGCGCTCAGTGGAGATGCCAGACACACAGGCCATACAGTGTGTGACCCCATTTCTGTGACACGTCCACAGTAGGCAAATCTACAGATAGAATGTGGGCTCACAGGTGCCAGGGGCTGGGGTGACTGCTAAGGGGGAAGGACAGCTTTTTGGGGAGATGGAATGTCCTAAAGTCCTACGTCCAACCCCCCTGACAACTGAGAACACTAAAGCTTGCAGAAGGGAATCCACCTGCATAGGTCCATGGTGGAGGAGCCCTAAAGGTCCTGTGAGGATTCTAGCACTTTCTGCTCACAGTGATAGAAGCCTTCGGGCTGCCCAGCCATCCTGCTTACCTAGGATTCACATCAAGCATCAAACCCAGGTCGGGCCATCACAAAACCAGATTTTAGAGGCCATTCCTGGCATCACAGGGCCTGGGGCCCCCATGGGGGCTGCTCTAAGCCCCTCCAGGGACCCTCTCTCTGTCAACAGACCATTTCCCAGTAGAAGTTCTCAGCTTGGGAGTCCTCGCCTCTCCCTTCCCATTTCTCTGAACCGGAGTCTAACTGCCCTAAGTCATCAGATACAGGAGGCCGCAGGCGGTGGGGGCTGTGCTGTTCCCGCATGAACCACTGTGGAAGGAGAAGCCCCAGCGGCCAGCCTGGCACTCCGGACAGACTCAGGGACAACAAACAGAAGTGGGAATAACAGTAGAAATAGGCAATGTAAAGACAGTAATGACAGCCCTGAGAACATCCTTTCTCCACATCCTCTCATTCTCACCGACTTGCAGGCTTAGTTAAAGACCCTGGGATACAGGTGGGGGACCCAGGTTACAAGTGGGGGTCCCAGGTGAGAGGTGGGGGTCTCAGGTTACCATTGACAGACCCTAATTTATAGGTGGGTGCCCCAGGTTACAAGTCGGGGGAGCCCAGGTTGTAGGTAGGTGGCCTTAGACTGTAACTGGAGGGTTCCAGGTTCCAGGCAGGGACTCCAGGTTATGAGCGGAAGCCTCACCTAATAGCAGGGAGCCACAGGTTACGGGTGGGGGCCCAGGTTACAGGCGGGGCCCACCAGCCCCTCTAGGGTTCAGGTCTTGCAGCTGCCCCCATCTCTTCCTCACACCTCTCACTTCTGCCCGCCCGTGACTTCCACACACACATACATGCTTGTGCACAGCAGCCCCCAGACACACTCGGTCCCTTGTTGACCCCCCTTTATGACCCTCTCTCTTCCCCAAACTCTGCCAGGAGCCCCTTCGGAGGTAGCCTCTGTCCCAGCCACTCTCTTGCGGCCGCCCCACCCTGAAGCTCCTGCTACCCTGTCACCTCGGGCTCCTAACCCCAGGAACCCCCTCCCCACGGGCCCAGCTCCGCCCCCACCTGCGGAAGGGGCCCCCAGGAGCCAGCGGGGTCCGTGTGCAAGGAGGTGGCCCCGCCCAGCGTCCAGTGCAGTTCCAGGTTGGGCGGCAGCCAGGGTGGGGCCGTGTCTGTGTGGACCCCCACGGCCGCCAGGGGGCGGGCAGGCACCGTCGCGGTGCCACCCTGGGTGTGCCTGTGAGCGTGCGAGTGTGAAAGACGCTTGGGACCACTGGGTCCCAAAGCCACACACACAATCCCTCGAGGCGATTACCTTTGGATCGTCACTCCCTGTTGGGCCTTGTCCCACCACGTTGTCACTGTTGGGGCAGAGATAGGGCACTCACACCCAAGGTCAACTGCCCTTCACTCTACACCTGGGCCCCTCCTCAGCACCGGGACCGGGCACTTGGGGGTGAGCAGCACCCCGCCCGCACCCACTCGACGCCATCAGCCCCCCCACTGCGAAGACCACAGACGCCCCCAGAAGCCGCCAGAGGCCCCCAGGCAGGACCACCCCCACTTAGGGAATCAGAGACACGCTGAGGAATTTGTGGGTAGGAGGATATTATGGCCAGGAATTTGATTCAGACCCTTGCTGGGCAGAATGTGCCAGCCCCAGCGTTCGGGAGAGAGCGTCCTCACAGGGCCACTCGTGTTTTCACAAGTTGGAGTGGGTTGGACTGCAGTCCCCAAAAGAGATGGTGACAATCAAATCCCCAGAACTGTGGGCATGGGGCCTCCTGGGAAATAGGGTCTTGGCCATTCATTCAATCA